GTGTGCTTTTTTGTGCCCAAAAAAAAAAAAAATTTTTTTTTTTTTTTTTTTTTTTTTTTTTTTTTTTTTTTTGGAAGAACAATTTTCATAATTCGTTTTACATATTGTTTCAGTTATTTTGTTTGTTTATTTTACATATTTAAAATATCTTCCATTTACAGTGTTAATTTTTTTCTTAGAATTTAAAGATGTTTAGGAATGTGTTTTTGCATTATGTATTACTTGAAAATGGTCTCAAAACAACAATATTATTGTTTATGGCTATAACTTCATCCTGACATGCCTCTGTGAAAGAAACTCTGCCTTCAGTTCAAACTGATCTGAAACTGACGGAAAAACATAAAATAAAAAATTGGTATAACATTAAAGAAGGGTGCGAGCATTTGATTAAGACTTGAATTTTGTTTGTTTTCCTCCTCTTAGATCATCTGAAAAGGAAGATTTGCAGGCGGCCATCTTGGAAGCGCGGCATCATACGCAAGAAGAAAATTTACAAGAAAGGAACAGAGGAGGAGGAAGAGGAGGCGGAAGCTGCAGTTCCCAGTGACTCGTGTTTGACACAGGACGAGGAATCGTCGTGTGACACTCCAGGTCCCCAAGCCAACGGTCATCATCCGCACGGCCCGTCCACAGAAGAGGAAAGCTCCAACGAACCCCCCGTTGTGACTGAAGGCAGAGAGGACGCAAAGCCTAAAGAGGAGGAGGCGACGGCGGCCAAAGAAAGGCGAGCGGCGAGCCCAGAGAAACGCACAGAACAACACCGCCTCTGTCGCACTCCTCCGCCCAATTCGGAGGAGGGTAGTCCGGCCAAGCGGGCCGACTTCCAGCCTTTGATGGAAACACTCAAGTCGTCAGATGTTCAGGTCCAGCCTAAACACGCAGAGGGTCACCGGGTTTCACAAGTGGACTGCGTGAATGGGACGGAGTCGATGGACAGCGTAGATTTACAGAGCCTCAAGAGGAGCAACGAGGCCGACACAAGGACTCCTCCGAGCTCGGCTGAAGGCTGCAATAAGCCAGAACAGGAAGAGCACAAAGACAAAAATGTGAGTAAGCAAACTCAGGAGCAGCATCCCCTGGATGACGGCGCGGTTACACAGACTGTTGAGGAGGATCAAGGGAAAGAAGGTATGTGTGTTTCTCTTTTGCACAATTTCTTGTGCAGAAATCCTTTTTATCCTCCCGGCTTTCGGTCTGTATTTATGCAAGATAATATTTAACGACTGCAACCGAAAAGCGTCTTTTCCATTATATCCTATAAAGCTTCATTACTTCATACGCATCGTTCCTGCTTCTGTTTTTTCATAGAACACGTCAAACTCGAAGCCCGGGAGCCAAAAACGATCCGCTGTAACTTTTTATGTGGCCCCCTAGACTCCAGAGGGTCACATAAATAGCACCAAAAATATACCAGATGTATGCTTAAATTATATTACAACAATCAAATCATAGCAGCTTTCTTCTGCATAGTGCCAAATTACTTTAATGTGAAAAGATGTTTAATGTTATTTAACTTTAAGAATCAGTGGTGACATTTTATGTCATTTTATTAAAAAAAAAAAAAAAAAAAGACAGACTTGGAACTGCCGGTTAAGATTTTACACACTATATTACATTGCTAAAGAAAACAAAACTTTCAGAAGGGCACTATTTTTTGTCCAGTGGTAAAAGAGGAGGCGCTCTACCACCACCTAGTGTCCATCTCTTCACTTGCCTACAGTTTTTTATTCACATTTTAACGGTATGTTGACATGTTTTCAATTCTGCCGTGGAATCAGCTGCCCATTATTTATCGCCTATAATACATTCGCGGAGGCACATCACTTTCTTTACATCTTCACTACATGGGGCTGATTCTTAAAAAAATTGATCATTTTGAATCATTTCGTGAACCGAATAGAAATCTTTCAGGCTACGTGTTCAGATATCGAACTGTATCATTCGAGAAACTCCAGAAGCCGTCCCGTCTCCCACCTTTTGACCCTTTCTTATACTGAAACAAAAATCTAGTGTTTAAGTTAGAAAATGAACCAAAAGTTGTGTGTTTGGTTACGGCCGTGCAGTCTGCGATGTGCTAAGCTGAGGCCAGCTGCATGGCTGAGGGAATGCTGCTGATTAAATATGGTTAAGCCGTCATAGGATGGCACGATCACACAAGTGGATAAACAAACAAACTGTGGCTCCTGTTTCTGGAGATAATTTAGCTACTCCACCTCCACTCCCCACACAGGCAGAGCTTGGACCTTTTTTTTTTTTAATCAAAATAAAATTCTTTTCTCCAATTGTCATAAATGGGCAAGAAGAAAGTCAAAAGGTGAACGGCAGATTGTTTGTTCCATAAAATATGGTCCACTTTGTGCTTTTCAATCTTTAACAGGACGAGTAATGAGTTTTTTTTTTTTTGTTTTTTTTTTGGCAACAGTCGGCACATAAATGTTTCTCCCATCAGTTCGGCATTGTTCTTGTTGCAGATGATTCCCGAGAACAGACGAGCAAGTCCATCACGTCGGAGCCGCTGACGGTGCCAGCCGGGAGGATGGAGGAAGAGGCGGAACCGGCCCTTACCTACCCTCCGGTGGTGGTGGACCACCAACGACTTCTGGTAACTATCTTCTCAGTCTTCCTACTGCAGGCGACGCAGGAGTACACCAAAGGAACGGAGGAAAGATTGAGAATCTAGTCGATTATGCGTCAAAAGCATTATGTTTTCATTGTTTACAAGGCAAAATCGTGGAAGACTTCAGTTTGAAAGCTGACGATTGAAGTGATTTGTTGACTCTGCTGCAGGTATTTGAGGTCGTTTCAACGCAGATTGTAATAACCGTAAATTCTCTGCTCTAACAGTTTAGTGGAATTAATAGATTTTTTTTTTAAGCATTTCCTTCCTTTTGTTTAAATTTCATACCAAAGCACCTCTTTCTTCATTTTTTGTGTGAAATAGAATATAACATCACTTACTGTTGTTAGCATTGCAGTGACTGGTATCAAAGGAAATGTAGCGAGGTTAAAGATCCTGTGGCTTTCACGGATTTAATAATAGTTGTATAATTAGAAATAAAAGAAAATCCCTGCAGGCTCTCCGGGCTTGACTGTGTTGAAACGTATCCTAATTATATTTTACCTGTGAAAGGGCATATATAACAAAGCCCTTGTCAATAGCTAGAAAAAAAATCCGGCCGAGACATTTTCACCTCCACACAACTTCCTAATCCTGTTTTCACATTACCTCAGAATTGGAAAGAGAACTCTTTTTTTTGCTCTTTATTAACTGTGAATTTTTATTCAGCGCTCAGAGTTGACTAACTCCAGAAGGAAATGGACTAATAATACACCACCATTAAACTCTCTAATTACGTGTATTCCAACAAAGAGAGCGGGGCTTATTTTGAGGATCTGGAAATTGTAAATCTGTGTTCATCATTAAACATGTGTACACGCAAACACACACACACACACACACACACATACACACACACACACACACGTTAACAGAAGCCAGAAGCTGACACCACAGAGATAAGCAACAGCTGTGGAAAACGCAATCAAATCCACTGACAATGAAGTTCCCGGCTTATAGCGGCAGTTTGACAGAACAATTTAGAGTTGATTATTTCTTTTTTTTTTAGGCATCTCAACTTGTAACAGCAATCTGATGTTTTAATAACCTTGGTTTGATCAATGCCGTTACCCTGTGGTCAGGCTGGACCCTTACAGATATTTTCCCATCTATAGTCAACACTTCGGATAACAACTTTTTGCTTCAGTCATAGATGCGAGTTTGTTGGGGGGGGGATGTCTCTTACCAGCTTTCAACATCGAGAGATTAAAATTTCTTTTTTTTTTGAACGACAGTTTTGTTGACAGACTTCATAATCCATTTTATTTGTAGTTTCTGTTTTATTTACTTATTTTCCATATTCAAAGCGTCTTCCAGCTCCAGTGTTAAATGTTCAGTAGAATTTAAAGTTTATTGATCTTTAGGAATGTGTTCTTACGTTCTTATGCCATCACTGCTGCATTACTTGAAAATGGTCTCAAAACAACATTATTGTTTATCGCAAAAACTTCTGGAACAAGTTCTCGTGACAAAGCCTCCGTGTAAGTCAAAACGTTCAGTCTAGTTCTTACCTGCACCAGTCGTCGTCATGTCGGCAGGTTCTCCTGAGCTGTGGAAGACGTTGTGGTTGTAACATAAAAAACATGAAAAGTATGGGAAGGCAATTTCAAAGAACCGTGAAAGAAATGCAAACACTTTTGATCCCATCAAGGTGTATTTTGACTGTATTTTTCAGTTTTATTGTTGATTCTTACCTCGATTTTGGTGCGTTACAGGTACGCTCATGAAGCGATAACGCTCTTTAAAAGCTATTGATTGTAACTGAGTGATGCATCGTAAAATTATCTTAAGGCAGACCTGAAAAAACTGAGATGTTTTACCTTACTACTGTGTATAAACTAGTCATGGACATTTTACCAAGAACCTCAAATGTGTTTTTTTTTTTTTTTTTTTTTTTTTTTTTTTAAAATTTTTTTCAAAAAAAAAAATGGGTAAAATTGTTCTTTTAAAACCAAAAAAAATTTTAAAAAAAAAAAAAAAAAAAAAAAAAAAAAAAA